TCTTAAACTTTAAGAATCTGACACTAGTACTGCTTATTTGATTTTGCAATATCTTTTCTAGACTTTAAAAAAAAAAAAAAGGATCTTGGGGGTATTTGCCTAGTAGTTAACACAGCAGTTGGAATGCCCACATCCTATATTGCAGTGTCTGGGTTCAAGTGCTAGCTCCACACAATTCCATATTCCTATTAATGCATACTCCGGGAGGCAGCAGGTGATGGTTCAAGTGATTGAGTTCCTACCGATATGAGCTAGGTAGGCAGTTACAGAGGTCTGCTGATCTGGAAGCACATGCAATCCTCCTCACAACCACTATCCCGCACCCTACCCCCTGTAATTTTACCCTCCTACTTGTCGATCGAAATGCCCCTTTTCCTGGGATGCATGTGTTTCATTTGGGACCTAAGGCGGGATGCCATGAAAATATGGATATTGGGGGTCAGCATTGTGGTGTAGCAGGATAAGCTGCAGCCTGCAACATGGGCATCCCCTACAGTGCCAGTTCGAGTCCCAGATGCTCTACTTCCAATCCCGCTCTCTGCTAATGGCCTGGGAAAAGCAGCAGAAGATGGTCCAAATACTTGGGCCCCTGCCATCCACAAGGGAGACGCAGATGAAGCTCCTGGTTCTTGGCTTTGACCTGACTCAGCCCTGGCCATTGCGACCATTTGGGAAGTAAACCAGGAGATGGAAGATCTCTCTATCTGTCTCTCCCCATTTCTCTGTAACCCTGACTTTCAAATAAATAAGTAGATCTTTTTTAAAAGATTTTATTTATTTATTTGAGAGGTAGAGTTACAGACAGTGAGAGGGAGAGACAGAGAGAAAGGTCTTCCTTCCATTGGTTCACTCCCCAGATGGCCGCCACGGCTGGAGCTGTGCCAATCTGAAGCCAGGAGCCAGGTGCTTCTTCCCGGTCTCCCATGTGGGTGCAGGGGCATAAGGTCTTGGGCCATCTTCTGCTGCTTTCCCAGGCCATAGCAGAGAGCTGGATTGGAAGTGGAGCAGCCAGGACTATAACCGGTGCCCATATGGGATGCTTGTGTCGCAGGTGGAGGATTAACCTACTGCGCCACAGCACCGGCCCCATAAATAAGTAAATGTAAAAAAAAAAAAAAAAAAAAAAAAAAAGGAAAGAAAATATGGATATTGAGCTCTTCATGGAACGTGCAGAAGTGTCATATAGTTCTCAGGTGATTTCAGGCCTGAGGCACCATCCCTAAAAGAGATCAACAATTAAGGAGAGTCTCTCTCTCTCTCTCTCTCTTTCTCTCTCTCTCCCACTGTATACCACAGCTAGGGCTACTGGGTGCTCTCTCTGTGTCTCCCTACCCCACCACTCCTCCTTTTGGGCCATCTTCTGGTCCACTGCCCATGCATGATGAATATTTCTCTGTGTAGGGTAACCCATGCTCATGTGTGTGTATGTGTGTGTTTTGCTTTCCCACCTTTTGAATAAAATTTATTATCACTTTGTGCTTCCTCTACATGTTAGCACTGAAGAATGCTTGTCTTTGTTCATGATAAAAGTCTGGAGTAAAATTAATGCGTCCCTTGCTCACATCACTACCACCCATATGGTAGACATGGATTGTATTATGGGTTCCCAACTTCAGCCTGTTGCAGGCTTTTGAGTGGTGAACCAGCAGAATGGAGTTATCTATCCATCTCTCTGTCTCAGTCTCTGTCTCTCTGTGTATGTGTTTGTGTGTGTTTAATTCTCTGTCTCTTTACTAAATACATAAATGAAAATCAATCTATTAGCAGATTAATGAAATTTTTAAAGATTTTATTTATTTATTTGAGAGGTAGGGTTACAGACAGAGAAAGGGAGAGGCACAGAGAGGTCTTCTATCTGCTGATTCACTCCCTAAATGGCTGCAACAATTGGAGCTGAGCCAATCTGAAGCCAAGTGTCAGGAGCTTCATCCAGGTCTCCCACATGGGTACAGGGGCCCAAGCACTTGGGCCATCTTTCACTATTTTCCCAGGCCAAAAGCAGAGAGCTGGATCAGAAGAGGAGCAACCAGGACACAAACCAATGCCCATATGGGATGCCAGCACCACAGGCAGAGGTTTAGCCTACTACGTCACAGCAACAGCCCCCAGATGAACAGTTTCTAAGAGAAAGTAGAGAGGGTCAGAGGCGGAATACGGTGTGAAACTGCCTTCTAACAGATATTTGTAGCTCACTCATTCCATCTTACGCTCCTGGGTAGGTTCTTGGGCAATAGGGAAATTTTCTCCTGTAATCCTCCATGCCTTGGAGAAAGTAGCATTTTAGGCTGAGAGCTTATGGCCTCCACCCTCAGTCTCTGCAATCTGGCTCTTCTCCAGTCTTCCTGCCAATGTCTCCTCATCCTCAGCATGGGTGGACCTTCATGGCAGGCTCTTAACTATCTCACACCACTTCTTTCTCCCATACTGGTTCCCCATACTGGTTCCAGAGAAAGTGCCAGTCATTTTTGCAGCATAAGTCCTGAATGTGCAGGCTGTTGCCTACTTAGGAACCAGTAACTCCTCTTCCATGAAAGCAAGCAACCAGTACCAGACCTGTTGAAGTGTCTTTCCTGAGGCATGAGATGAGAATAAATACCCTATGATCCTCCTCTTCAAAACTGTAGAATATTTCCCAAAAGCTATGGTCTGAATGTTTGTGTCCACCAAAATTCATATTTGTAATCTGAACTCTCAAGATGATGGTAGTAAGAGGACCTTTAGGGAGAGGGCCTATTTTAGGTCATGGGGGTAGACCTTTCATGAATAGGATTAGTATCCTTATAAAGAGGTCCAATATACTCAGGATATTAATCCTTTGTCAAATAGGTCGTTTGCAAATATTTTTGTCCCTATCTGTTGGATGTTTCTTCACTCTATCAATCATTTCCTTTGCTGTACAAAAGCGTCTGAGTTTTATATAGTCCCATTTGTTTAGTTTTACTTGAATTGCCTATGCATTAGGGGGCTTGACAAAGAAGTTGTCCCCTGAACCAAAGTCTTGGAATGTTTCCCTTAAATTTTCTTTCAGCAACTTCATAGTCTCAGGTCTTAAACTTAGGTTTTTAATCTGTCTTGAGTTGATTTTTGTACATGGTAAGAGGTATGGATCTAATTCCATTCTTCTAAATATATAAAACTCAACAACAACAACAACAAAAATAGCTAATCCAGTTGAGATATGGGCAAAGGACTTCAAAAGCCATTTCTCAAAATAACAAAAAGCAAATGGTCAACAAATATATATATATTAAAAAAAAAAAAAAGCTCAACATCACTAGTCATCAGGAAAATGCAAATCAAAACCAAAATGAGACATCACCTCACCCCTGTCAGAATGGTTAAAATCCAAAGCACAGAGAGTAACAAATGCTGGCAAGGATGTGGACTAAGGGGAACACTTATACACTGTTGGTGGGAATGTAAATTAGTGCAGCCACTGTGCAAGACAATGCAGAGATTTCCTAGAAAGCTAGAAATAGACTTGCCATATGATCCAGCAATCCCACTACTGGGTATATACCCAAAAGACTTGAACACCACGCATCAGAGAGATACCTGCACCACCATGTTTATAGCAGCACTGTTCACAATAGCCAAAATTTGGAATCAACCGAAGTGTCCATCATCAGATGAATGGTTAAGAAAATGTGGTGTGTATATATAGTGGAATAAACAAATGTGGAATAAAAAATCAGCTAGAAAAAATAATGAAATTCTACCATTTGCAGTAAAATGGATGCAACCGGAGGACATCATGTTGAGTGAAGAGGCTAGAATCAAAAAGACAAATTCCACATGTTCGCTCTTAATTGTGGGTGCTAAAATCTTTTTTTTTTTTTTTGACAGGCAGAGTAGACAGTGAGAGAGAGAGACAGAGAGAAAGGTCTTCCTTTGCCATTGGTTCACCCTCCAATGGTGCGCCGCATTGATCCGATGGCAGGAGCCAGGTACTTCTCCTGGTCTCCCATGGGGTGCAGGGCCCAAGCACTTGGGCCATCCTCCACTGCACTCCCTGGCCACAGCAGAGAGCTGGCCTGGAAGAGGGGCAACCAGGACAGAATCTGGCGCCCCAACCGGGACTAGAACCCGGTGTGCCGGCGCCGCAAGGCAGAGGATTAGCCTAGTGAGCCGCGGCACCGGCCAGGTGCTAAAATCTTAAAAACAAACAAGCAGACCAACAAAAAAGAAGTGTCTGTGTGTACCAGTATTGCAGCAAATATAGTTTTATAAACTTTGTTTCATACTTTTGTCAAACCACTGATTAAGAATGTAATACTACTTTTAATGATCTGTGATGACTTTAAAATTTACTGTATGTGAGTGAAATGGTCATCTTTTTATTCAATTATTACTTATACCCATTGTCTGTTTTCCCACTAAACTAGGGTGTTTTTGCTTTTTACTTGTTAAACTTCTTATTCTGCAAAGTATTAAGCTCTTTTTCTGTTATATAAGTTTAAAAATGTTACCTCAAAAACTAAAAAGAGGGCCAACACTATGGCATAGTGGGCTGGGCCTCCACCTGTGGCACCATCATTTCATATGGGCTCCAGTTCATGTCCCAGTTGCTCCTCTTCCCATCCAGCTCTCTGCTATGGCCTGGGAAAGCACTGGAAGATGACCCAAGTGCTTGGTCCCCCACACCCACATAGGAGACCTGGAAGAAACTCCTGGCTCCTGGTTTCGAATCAGCTCAGCTCCAGCTGTTGCGGCCATCTAGGGAGTGAACTAGCGGGTAAAAGATCTTTCTCTCTGTCTCTCCCTGTCTCTGTAACTCTACCTCTCAAATAAATAAAGAAATCTTTTAAAAAAATGTTTTCAAGAAAGGGAGAAGGAAGGAGGGTGTGAGGAAGGAAGAGGATATCATTTGTTCTTAGAATTGCATCTACATAGGGTATGTGTCGATGAGATTTCACAAATAAGACCAGTGTAAGCAAATAATGAAGGATAGAATTAAAAGGGAAAGAATGATCCTCCGGGGGAAACAGGACACATAGCAGACTCATAGAATGGCAGCACTCCTGCCTCAGAATCAACCCTTGGGACATTCGGATCTGGCTAAAAGGTCCATGAGAGTCTCACAGGCATGGAAAGCCATGACACGGTGGCAAAAAACAATCTAAATGAAAGATCCTGGTGAACAAGACCCCAGCAGAAGGAACAGGCCATCAAGGAGAGAGGCGCCTTTCTCTGAAGGGAGGAAGGAACCTCCACTGTGATATGGCCTTGACTAAACAAGTTCAGAGTCGGTGAACTCAAGGGGCTTCCATAGCCTAGACAGCTCATAGCATGAGTCTTGGGTGATTGCTGACGTCATAAATGAGAGTGCCAAGTGTTAAATCAACAATGGGACTCACTGGGTACATGCTCCCCACGTAGGATCTCTGTCCTTAATGTGTTTTACTATAAAACTTAAAAACAACACTACTAGTTGAACAATACCCTATACCTTGTGCAGTTATGTGAGTACAGCCTGTTGAAATCCTTGCTTAGTATATACTAAATTGATCTTCAGTGTATGAAGGTAATTGAAAATGAAACTCGATGAAGGGTGGGATGGGAGAGGGGGTGGGAGAGGGGAGGGCCACGGGAGGGAGGGAGGTTGGGGGGGGAGCCACAACAATACAAAAGTTGCACTTTGTAAATTCACATTTATTAAATAAAAAAATTAACTATATAACAAACAAAAAAAAAGAAAAAAAAAGAACTTAATACTTTACCCTTTTAGTATTTTTTATGTTCTACTTAAAACTATTGGTTGAACTCTGTAATTAATACACAATTACTCTTAGGTGTTTAATTAATGCTATAACTAGTACTCAAATAGTATTTTACACTTTGTGTTTCTGTGTGGGTGCAAACTGTTGAAATCTTTACTTAATATATGCTAAATTGATCTTCTGTATATAAAGATAATTGAAAATTAATCTTGATGTGAATGGAAGGGGAAAGGGAGTGGGAGAGGGGAGTGTTGTGGGTGGGAGGGAAGTTATGGGTAGGGGGAGCTATTGTAATCCATAAACTGTACTTCGGAAATTTATGTTCATTAAATAAAATAAAAAAAAAGAATTGCATCTACAAATCACATTGAATCTGTTAAAAACTAATTAAAAATTAAAACTAAAAAAGAGATCTGAGAGATACCTCTTGCCCTTCTGCCTTGTGAAGACACATCAAGAAGCACCATCCATGAACCAGCAAGCAAGCCTTCACCACATACTGAATCTTTTGTCAAATAGGGCCTTAATCCTGGACGTGTCAATCCCCAGAGCTGTGAGAAATAAATTTCTGTTAAAAAGCCACTCACGCAGTATTTTGTTATGGCACTCTGAGTAGACTAAGATACCAAGCTTGCTCCAAAACTCCTTTCCTTATTTCCAATTCTCCTCTCTCAACAGCCCTAATGGGCTGGAAATGGGTGGTGAGCTATGAGTTACAGAACCAGTTCTCAGACACCCCCTTTATAATTCTCTTATTGCTGGGCCAGAGTTTGGGAGCCCATGGCTCTTAATGTCTTGTGACCTCTGCTAGAACTTTCCACATTTTTAAACATCCTGGTCTTAATACTTTTGTAATACCTGTTGAGATAATTAAAAACACATTGGAATGTAACAGAGCCTATATTGGAAAATGTGGTAGAGTAAGCATTCAGATTAAACTATTACAACATAATATTCTGGATGCAATTTATATGCATAAATAAATATTATATATATGTATATACATATATGATCACCAATATTAATGTGCCTGAGAGTTCCCATGACCACACAAAATTCTAGTCAAATGGAAACGGGTGTTTTGCTCAACAGTTAAGATACTTGCAATCCCACATCAGTGTGCCTGGGTTTGACTCCCAGCACAGACTCCTGACTCCAGCTTCCTGCCCACACAGACTCTGCGAGACAGCAGAGATGATTCATGTAGTTGGGTTCCTGCCATCCACAGGGCAAACTGGATTGAGTTCCAGGCTTTTGATTGGCCACTAACTAGGTCTAGTCATTGCAGGAAATTTGGGGTGACAGCATTCTCTCCCTGCCTCTCAAGTAAATGGGGTGAGAGCACTCTCTCTCTCTCTGCCTCTCAAGTAAACAAATTTAAAACCTTTTAATTCTAGTTACACTATTTAAAGTACCTACCCAGGTGTGTGACTTCCATCTTTAATTACCTCGGTGACCACATGCCTTCACATTCGTCAGTGGAGCTCCAGGGACCATTTCAGAAGAATTCATAGGCCCCAGCATGATACTAAATGAATATTTTCCTTGCTATTATAATTGGGGAGTAAAGACCTCTGACATCTACTCTACTCTTTATGTATTTTTCTCACCTGTATCTAATTTGTCCAGAAGTGTCTAACGGTGGTCTAAAAGTAACAGCAAATAAAATTGGTTCTAAGATTATTTATGATAGCATGGCATGATTTGGATTTCTATAAAAATAAGTTAATATAAAGCCCTTTGCTTCCTTCCATAAGTATCTTTATATTTGTTTATTTTTCAGTTGCATACAACTATTAATTTTTTAATATTTTTATTTTTACACAGTGAAAAAATTTCAAGTATTTCATATATACAGATTTAGGAGCATAATGATACTTCCTGCCCTAAACTCCCTCCTGCTCATGTTCCCACCATTCCTCCTCCTTACTTTCTTATTTTTTTAATTTTTTAATTTTTATTTTTAATTAGTTGTTAATAGATTCAATGTGATATGTAGAAACAATTCTAAGAACATAATGACATTCCCTCTTCCCTCCCCCTCTCTCCCTGCCACTCTCCTTTCTTCATCTTTTTTTTTTTTTTTGAGATTACATATTTTAAATTTGCCTTATAGTAAAAGGGCTTAATACTTCACCAAATAAGAAGTATAACAAGTTAAAAGTAAGAAGACCCTAGTTTAGTGGGAATATAGACAATGGCTACAAACAATATTTGAATGGAAAAATAACCATTTCACCCATATACAGTTAATCTTTTTTTTTTTTAAGATTTTTATTTATTTGAAAGACAGAGTTGCAGAGAGAAGTAGAGACAGAGAGAGATCTTCCATCTGCTGATCTACTCCCCAAATGGCTTCAAAGTTCAGGGCTAGGCAAACCTGAAGCCAGGAGCCAGGAGCTACTTCCTGTTTTCCCACATGGGTGCAGAGGCCCAAGGATGTGGACCATCCTCTGCTGCTTTCCCAGGCACATTAGCAGGGAGCTGGATCAGAAGCGGAGCAGCCGAGACTCAAACCAGCGCCCTTATGGGATTCTGGCACATCAGGCAGGGGTCTGGCACAGGGGCTTTAACTCACTGCACTACAGCGTCAGCCTCTACAATAAATCTTAATGTCACCTGAGGTCGTTAAAACGATAGAAGCATAATATTCTTGAGCCGGTGCCGTGGCTCAATAGGCTAATCCTCCGCCTTGCGGCACCGGCACACCGGGTTCTAGTCCCGGTCAGGGCGCCGGATTCTGTCCCGGTTGCCCCTCTTCCAGGCCAGCTCTCTGCTGTGGCCAGGGAGTGCAGTGGAGGATGGCCCAAGTGCTTGGGCCCTGCACCCCATGGGAGACCAGGAGAAGCACCTGGCTCCTGCCATCGGATCAGCGCGGTGCGCCGGCCACAGCGCGCCGGCCACAGCGGCCATTGGAGGGTGAACCAACAGCAAAGGAAGACCTTTCTCTCTGTCTCTCTCTCTCACTGTTCACTCTACCTGTCAAAAAAAAAAAAAAAGAAGTATAATATTCTTAATCATTGGCTTGACAAAGATATAAAACAAAGTTTTATAAAACTATATTTGGATTTGGTGCACTACTGATACACACAGACACTTCTTTTTTGTTGGTCTGCTTGTTTGTTTTTAAGATTTTAGCTCCCACATATAAGAGCAAACATGTGGAATTTGTCTTTTTGATTCTGGCCTATTCACTCAACATGATGTCCTCCGGTTGCATCTGTTTTGCTGCAAATGGTAGAATTTTATTCCTTTTTATAGCTAATTTTTTTATTCTACTGTGTATATATACCACATTTTCTTTTCATTCATCTGATGATGGACACTTTGGTTGATTCCAAATTTTGGCTATTGTGAACAGTGCTGCTATAAACATGGTGGTGCAGGTATCTCTCTGATGCGTGGTGTTCAAGTCTTTTGGGTATATACCCAGTAGTGGGATTGCTGGATCATATGGCAAGTCTATTTCTAGCTTCCTAGGAAATCTCTGCATTGTCTTGCACAGTGGCTGCACTAATTTACATTCCCACCAACAGTGTATAAGTGTTCCCCTTAGTCCACATCCTTGCCAGCATTTGTTACTCTCTGTGCTTTGGATTTTAACCATTCTAACAGGGGTGAGGTGATGTCTCATTTTGGTTTTGATTTGCATTTTCCTGATGACTAGTGATGTTGAGCTTTTATATATATATATATATATATATATATATATATGTTGACCATTTGCTTTTTGTTCTTCTGAGAGTTGACTCTTAAAGTCCTTTGTCCATTTCTCAACTGGATTGGTTGCTTTTTCTTGTTGTTGAGTTTTTTAAGTTGCTGATATATTCAGGATATTAAATCTTTGTCAGATAGGTGATTTGCAAATAATTTTTCCCAATATGCTGGATATCTCTCCTCTCTGTTAATCATTTCCTTTGCTCTGCATAAGCTCCTGAGTTTTATATAGTCCCATTTGCTAAGTTTTGCTTGTGCTCTGGGGGTCTTATCCAAGAGATTGTCCCCTACACCAATGTCATGGTTTGTTTTCCCTACATTTTCTTCCAGCAACTTCATAGTCTCACATATTAAATTTAGGTCTTTGATCCATATTAAGTTTTTTGTATATGTTGAAAAGCATGGGTCTAATTTCATTCTCCTACATATATACTTCCAGTTTTTGCAGCACCTTTTGTTGAAGAGATTATCCTTACTTCACTGTATGACCTGAGCACTTTTGTCAAAAATCTGTTTGTATGTATGTGGATTAATTTCTGGGCTGTCTATTCTGTTCCACTGATGTATGTATCAGTTTTTATGCCAGTACCATGTTGTTTTAATTATTATAGTTTTGTATGAAGTCAGGTATTGTGATGCCTCTAGCATAATTTTTCTTGTTCAGGACTGCTTTGGCTATTCTGGGTGTTTCATAATTCCATATGAATTTTATGATTGCTTTTTCTAATTCTGTAAAGAATATCATTGGTATTTTGATAGGGATTGCATGGAATCTGTAGATTGTTTTGGGTAGTATAGACATTTTATTGATATTGAATCTTCCAATCCATGACCAAGGGATATCTTTCTATTTTTTTGTGTGCTTGATGATTACTTTAATCAATGCTTGATCATTTTTACTGTAGAGGTTGTTCACCTCTTTGGTTTATTCCCAAATCTTTGATTGTGACTATCATGAATGGAATTTCTTTCTTGATTTCTCTTTCTGTGAGTTCATCATTTGTAACCTGCAAATTTATTGAATTGGTTTATCAATTCTAACAGCTTTTTGGTGAATGTTTAGGTTTCTCCATATAGAACATCAGGC